GCAGCCAATTGGTGAAATTAAATTATGAAGTTATGGTTTTTTTCGGTTGTATGTATCTGAATTGAATTTTATTTTTGGGTAATGTGGTTGTAGGATGCCTTGTTGTTGTACATGGAAGTGATGGGAATTGAGGTCCAACAGGATATGGAGGGACTCAAGGAAGCAGTAAAACTTGATGAAGCAAAGAAAATTGAGGAAGAGGAAGCAAGTAAAATCAGGGAAGCGAAAAGAATGGAGGAAATCAAGGAACTTAGGGAACAAGGGAAAAAAATTGCAGAAGACATGAAAATTGTGGAAGCCAAGAAAAAAGAGGAAACAAAGAAAAAAGAGGAAGCCAAGAAGGAAAAGAAAGAGGAGGATAAGAATATGGGGAAGAGAGTAGAGTATGCGAAAAAAATTGTGGAAGACAGGAAAACAGACAAAGCGAAGGGTGTTAGACACAGGCACGACGAGGAGATTTATTGAAGATTTATTAATTAAGGAAGCGCATAAAATGGTGAAAGCCGCAAAAATAGAAGAAGAAAGGAAAATTGAGGAAGCCAAGAAAGAAGAGGAAGCAAAGAAAATTGAGGAAGCCTGGAAAAGAGAAGACGCAAAGAAAATTGAGGAAGCAATCAAGAAAAGAGATGAAGCAAGGAAAATTGAGGAAGCCAAGTTGAAGAGAGCAGGGGTAACAATACTTTTGCAAGGAAGGAAAATGGAGGAAGCCAAGAAAAGTGAGGAAGAAGCAAGTGTGGGAGGGACAAAAATGGAGGAAGCAAAGAAAAGTGAGGAAGCAATCAAGAAAAGTGATGAAGTAAGGAAAATTGAGGAAGGCATTGTGGGAGGCAGAAAATTTGAGGAAGGACAGAACATGGAGGAAGCCCAGAAAAATGAGGAAGTGAAGGATATTAAAGACAAAAGGAAGAAAGTTTTGAGAGGGATAAAAATTGAGGAAGGAAAGAAAACTAAAGAAATGAAGAAAGTCGAGGAAGCAAAGGATTTTAAGAACAAAGGGAAAGGTAAAGTAGACGAGGGACCTGACCCGAAGGAGCTTGAATTGAGGAAGAGTAGGAAAGCAGTAAAGTGGCACAGAAAGCGAAATAAAGGAATAAGTAAGGTACTGGGATTACACACAATTGAAGAATGGTAGAGATTAGAGGTAGAAGATGACAAGAGTAGCGACGAAGAGGAGTTTATGATGAATTTTGAACTTAAATGGCCAGTTGCTGAGCTTGAGGGGGACATGAATTTCCCCGAGCCTATACCTTTACCTATACCTATACCCATACCTGAGGGTAGTAGGAATCGTAGAGGGCGTCGGGCCATCACACGTCAACCCACATCTGCTACCGCTGCTGCAGCATGTCAGCCCATGGCTGCTGCTGCTGCTGCACCTCAACCCACGGCTGCTGGTGCTTCTGCACCTGGTGCTAGTCAACCCAAGTGCTGCTCCGTTCTATAGAGAGAAAGAGAGACACATCCATGGTACATTTTTGTTGAACTTTTTAGTATGATAGTGGCAAAACATAAGTATGAAGTTTGAGACTGGAATTTGGATTGAAATTGATTAAATAGGCATTCATTTGTGTTTCACTTTGAAGTTTGATTTTGAGTATGCATTGCCTAATATCACTAAATCTGTTTTAGATTATGCTTATTTGTGCTAGTTCAATGTTGATTGACATACGTGATGCATGAGATGGAGATTGGTGGAGGACATTGTAGTTTTAGCTAAAATAGCTAGTTAAGAATTACATTTTCTATTTTAACTAGGCATTTCTTCATACAGATATCCTGCAATGCTCTATTTAATCTTTAACCCTTTAAAAAAATTATCCTCCTCTCTCCCACAATACCATCAAGATCATCTAACAATGACAATGATGTCACTGATTTCTGTATATATAGAGCCTTCATATGAACATTATGAACAAACCCATCAAGAAAATCTGTTTCAATTCTTAAACTGAAACTGCTACTATGATCAGACATTCCCAATTGGCATGCCTCAACAAAAGGCCTTGATTGTCAAAAAAGAAATTCACAAAAATTCATGTTATGAATTAACCCCATGGCCATGGACTGCATCTTGAATCGTTCCTAAGAGTAAATAACATTAAAGGATACATTATTAGATTGTTAATCAACAACTCACAAGCAAGTATTTTAGTTATCAGATAAAGGGAAAGATTAGAACACAAGATCTATTTGTTTAGATACCATATTGTATTGTTAATCACTAACCCACATAAAACTTTAAAATATTTAACAGAGAAGCAACTTTATTATTTATATCTTCAACATACATTTCAACATTAAATAGATGCTAACATTATTTTTTTCCTTTTTTGTTCACAAGACTTGTGAATTATTGATAAAAGGAGGTCAAAATATTATGTGAAATAAAATCTTAAATGAGCTCAATGTAACTATGTCAAACTTATGGGGCTTGATGTATTTTATTTAAACTTAAAGAGGTTAATGTAATAGAGAGGTTTCTCTCCAGTTCGTGATCAAACTTGAGGGTGTTGTCCCATTTCGATGATTCAAATCATTCAATTTTTAGAATCCATTGAGTACATCATCTTTGCAAAAAATCACATTGATTCGATAGAATATAATACTTGCACTTGTTTGGCCTGCTTATGGAGAATAATCGAGCCAGGCTTGAGAGGTCCTATTGAGGATATAAGTAATAAAGTTATCCCTCTAATAGCTTAAGCTTTTAGATGAGATGATGGTTGAAATTTCAACAACTACAACAGAAAAATAAAGAGAAAACAGAAAAAAAGGAATTCTCCATGAAAGTAAAATGAATATTCATTCCATGAATCATATTGACTATTCCCAAGTTATTGCCTCTTGAGGAGATGACAAATGGGAGGTGGGAGGGAGACAAGAACCAAAACAAAAAATGGTGGAGGTAACATATATTTTCCAAATATATAGCATTACCATTTCAAAGAACTAGTTTTTAACTTTAATTACACTTTTTTTAGATTATGCATACTTAGGCCTTGTTTGTCATATACTAAAAAAGCCAAAAGTCAAAGAGTCACTATCCTATTTAAGTCACATCACCTCTCTACCACATCGCTTCAAACCCAACCCATATTTCGTAAAAAGTCAAAAAGTGCACTTATTTAAAACATCCCAAACAATCCCTTACAAGGACATGTATGTTAGGAATTAACTCTTCCTATCTAAGATCGGTGAGACACGAAATAACAAATAAGAAAGATAAAATGAATCAAACAAATTACACACACACACAAGAACACAAGGATTTACGTGGTTCACCTCAGAATAGGGCTACGTTTATAGCTGTTCTGGTTTTTACTATGATTAGAAAACAATACAACTCTTAACGTAAAAGACAAGCCTCCTTTATAGGAAAATGTTTGGGACCCCTACAAAGATGACCCCCACTAATGTATTGACCATTGATGTGTTTAAATTTTTTTTGGGAGTTGTGTCTGACAGTGACATGAATGGTTCAGATTATTTTGGGGGTTGTATTTTGTGGGGGTCTCTATCATTGTTGTTATCTATTTATAAGTATAGATTAGGGCAATGTGGAAGCAACGGGGACATTACTACAGTACCCAAACCTTCTAGACTCCCCCTAAACCCCCCATTGGACCCAATGTTGAGTGAACAATACTTATCAGGGTCCACAGACCCAACAATGTCTACCTTACATATTTATTACGCTGATCGTACTGTATCCCATTGTGATCATGTAGTGTATGTTTTGTTGTCTCAGATTGTTGATTGCATTAAGGGCTGTCTTAATGTTACCTCCGGTCCTGCAACCTTCATTCAGGTATGCAAATCTGAGATGCTGCTTAAGGCCATATGTAACTGTGAACAGTACAATACTTTCCCTAGCTGTTACTATTGTAGCATTAGCAACAAATATGATTTAGTGAAAATTAACACGGGAGTGATTCAGATAGAAGCCTCAAGGAATCAAATCTTCAAGTTCTTCCTTTGGAAAAGCAGGAGACAAAATATCACATGTGAGTTGTAGTTATGAGTTAGCTCACAGATCTTATTAGTGGAACTAACATACTACGGGTTCTAATGACTTAAAAATCTTATATAGTGTTACAGAGTTCACATTGCTGAAGTAAGTTAGTTCGCACACAGTCACTCTTGATTTAGCGGTCTGGATTGATATACTAACTTAATATTGTGTGCGTACCGGATTTCGCATTAGATAAAAGTGGATCGGGGCTCCGCACTCGGTTGGACTATCTAGGGACTGAGGTTCCTGCCACAAGAAGCACCGTTAGAGCTGCCCGGCCGAGGTTGGCCGGATAACCCCTCCGGTGTGGGAATCAGTGATCGGAGAAGAAGTGTATAGAGAGTTGAGTTTGTATGTAAGTGTGGTTTAGCTTGGAATAGTTCAGTTACCTTCAATGTGAAGTTCATGTCATATATATAGGGTTCCTTGCTTGCTTCTCAAGATGGTTTCATGGAGCTTGGGTGCTGCCAAGTTTCCTTTTAGCATTGCCCAAGGTGAGGGACCACATGTTAGTTGTTATAGAATGCATACACTCATTGTAGTCATGCTGATAACAAACCACATTCCTTTGGTTCAACAGCTTCCGTGATTCTAGGTGCAGGGGACCAGCTGAGGTGGCAACTTGCACATGCACATAACAATTGAAGAAAATATAAAAACCAGAAAAAGGACATGGTAAAACCACAAAAGCAAAACAATAGTAATATTTACCTTGGGTTTGCTAAGTTCAACACTGCTCGCATTACTACACAAGCAAGAAGCTCTCTAACAAAAAAGTGGAACAAAGAGCACTGCAAATCCTCCGGTCTGAATGTGAACGATATGAGACCATCCATTAAGTGTTGGAGAACCTGAAGAACAAACAAGAATCATAACTATGATGAAAAAGCGAGATGCTTTGAGCCTTGTAGAAAGATCTACAGAACTACAGACTAAATGTTATATGAAGATCAAGAAATGATGTAAAGGACCTTGTGCTCTGCTTCAGCAGATTATACTCTGGAAACTCCTTAAGACGTCGATGGAGTTCCTCAAAATGCCGAAACCTATATTAAGCATCAATAAAATTAAGTTATAAAAAAAATCCTGGGAAGCTAATGATTGTAAAGCATCATTGTACAACCAGTACAATAAATTTCAACATTGCACACATAAGGACATAAAAGGTGAATAAGACAAGAGAAGATGAATGAAGGAAAAATCCAGAAATTTAAGGCAGTATCTTGAGCACCTTCTTTTGATAGACCAGTTATTATTATTTATATCCGTAACAGATATGGAATAAACAGCAAATGTTGTAGAGCCACTCTTCACAATATTGGCACCCAATACCTGCAACGGGAAATGATATTACATCCTTACATGTTTTAGCATATCAGAAAATTTAAAGCATGATGTAACAAAAAGAAAGTAATAAGCATTATGTTAAGTACCTCACATCTTAACTTAAAAAAAGAATCTGCCAACAATGAGACTTTCCAACTTATCATGTAATCCAAACATAGTGCTAACGTTAGATATCTTCTAATTTGGGTTGATTTATGTATAATATATTTTTATATATTATATTTAATTTGAGGAGACCCAATCCAATTTAAAAACAATTAGGGTTTGATTAATAAACCCTAGATTTACAATATTTTGGGGGGTTTTTGTCCTTGCTCTTCCCGGAAAAAGAAGGAACGGCTGCTACATGGGATTAGTGTTCAATTTCGGTGGGTACCTCTTGGCTACAGAAGCTTGGAAGGTTTATTTGGATGCATATTTGTTTGCTTGAGTGGAGATTGATTTGGGTTAATTATTTTGGATCTTCTACAACTTTAGTTTTGAAGATTTTGGTTCTTCTATTTGGTGAGGTCTTTCCTCTTTGTTTATTTGTGATTATTTGGAATTCACCTAAGGGTGGATTTTGTGAGACCATTAGTGTCTCGTTTGTAATCGTTTGGAACTTATTTGGTTGATAGTGGAATCGGATTTCGATCCCGTGGACGTACCTCAGATTGAGGGAACCACGTAAAATTCTTGTGTTATTTTTGATTTAATTTTTTCGCATTAGTTTTTATTCCCATTGATTGATTAACTTGTGGGGAATCAGATCGATTTTCCCTAACATAGTGAAGATAGCAGACTTTGGAACAAGCGGGTCAATTTTTTGTTCCTGCCAGGAGACATACTGAAGGGCGCAAGGTACTAATTTTTCAGCTTTTACTATCCAGCCTTCTTTCAATTTTAACTTTGGATAGTTGATTTTGATGATGGAGTAGAAGTTGAGCATACAAGCGATACACGTACAGAAACAGAAGATGGTTGTAACCATTAGCTTTAAAAAAAATTACGAAAATACTAAAACTTCAAATTTTGAAATCATAAATTCGAACAGTTAGCTAGGAGCACTTTGGGCATGAAAAATGTGTGGCATAGGCGCTTACACCAAGTGAGTCACGTACTTCATATAATAGTAACTGAAAGCTATTTGGGCACTACACCGTAAAGGTTGTTTATTTTTTTTTTTTTTTTTCCATTCCCTTTTACAACAATTTCTATAGAAAGAAATATATGTGTATTAATTTCAGTAGAACTGTCTTTTCTTTCAATTTTCTTCATTGAATAGAAAAGAAAATACGTGGAGTTCGCTATACAAACATCGAGAAACAATCATAGGTTTCAGTTCATGTCTTGCCAGTATACAAGAACTTTAATTCCAAAGATTTATTAGAGCATCTGAATTCGGTTTATTCCTCTAGACATATATCTACGCACATTTTAAAACGTGCCCAAATGCAAAATTTATTCAAATTGTTCAAAATTCTTGATTTTATTATATGTTCAGGTGACAAGTCAATGGTACAGGGCACCTAAACTCTTACTTAGTGACCAAAAATACACCAAGGTTGTTGATATGTGGGCTGTGGGTTGTATATTTGTTGAGATGGCAATTCAACAGCCTCTTTTCGCAGCTACAACAGAGATTGAACGCCTGAACAAAATTTTCAGGTGCTATATATTTTCAAACACACACAAACTCGATGATTGTTGCCATTTTTAATGTTCTAATTACGTAGTATTTGTAATGTGAAGTATTTTGGGCAAACCATGCGAAGCAACCTGGCCTGGAGTGATTGCATTATTTCCCACTCTAGTTTCTTTTGTCGATTGTATACCTAAGGTAGTACCGGTCATTGGTGAGCTTTTTATTTTATTTTAATGTTATTCAGTTTTGAATATGAAAAATGTTTTTACCTTTGTGTCTTCTTCCGAAATGCAGGACCTGAACAAAGTATTGCCTAATCTTGAACCAGATGGAGTTGATCTTGTTTATGTAAGTTTCTTTCTCCTAACCACTATTTGAGTGAGTTTTTAAGTTCATCAGCGGATTTTTCTTTCTCCTAATAATACCCATTTTAATTTATTCAGAGAATGCTCCGGTTGAATCCAAAAGATAGAATTACAGCTTCTGATGCACTAAATCACCAATACTTTTCAAGATGTGATTCCCGATCCTCTTCGTGATTCTCTGTCAAAAGAATGTGTGCTTCTTCTAAAGAATGTTTTGATTCACATTACCTTTGCCTGCAACACTATGTCTCTTTTCCTAAAGTTCTCTTCAATTGGAAGAAATAAACAATTTGATGTTGTTGACAGAACTACTCAATATGTATGATTCATCCATTTTTGACCAATAAAGTACCACCTCTTTTATCAGAATCGTCCGATTTATTATTCAACTCATGATCTATGCATAGTTTAATGCAAATCTATGAGTGAGTGTCTATATTTTGGAACAGAATCAATGGTGAATAGTTCAATTCCTGATTTGATTATATTTTAGGATTCAAGCAATTTTTGAAACTATTGGATTTTGACAGATTACAAGAATTTTTTGGTGAAATTGTCACAGTACAACTTCCAAGATTGTTTGGTACAAAAATAGCTAGTGTTATGCTTCGTTTGCTGTTATTTTGCAACCCCATCATAATTAAGCAATCTTATCTTATTTTTCATCAGTTAAATATTTTTTCTTTGGGAAAAAAAAAGTTTGCGACCTACTAATAATTTTGGAATTGAATGGGGTGTTCAAAGAAAAAATAAAGTTTAAATTTGGGAATAGGGTGAATTAAGAAATGGGTGTTCAACAAATTTTTTGGGGTGAATTTTAGGGGCTTCCCAAACACGGTCCTGAGATAATTATTTTAGACTCTGTTTGGATATTTTGATAAGGATTCGCGGAAAGAATAGAAAAAAGGCAGACAAAATGGAAGGGGAAAAAAAAATTCCAACATCCACATAGTGACATAAAGCTAAAAATGAAGTATTTCAACATGAACATATGTGAAAGAAAACAGTGGCAAACAACATAATAAGACAAATAAAAAATAAGAACCCTCAACCAAACCCCAATCTAACACATAGGATGATGAACCTAAAAACTTGATTTTTTGCACCATGTTTGGTTATTACTATTCTTAGTTGTCTCTTTTCATTTTTTATTTTTATTGAGAATAGAGATGGCAACGAGTCTGTTTTTTTCTCAACTATTAAATTTTGTACTTTACATTTTTATTATTATTTTGACCTATTTGTTCCTATAACTCAACCCTAACCTATCAATGATCTCTCAACATAAGGTTTGGTCAAATACAATCGAGTTGGAAAATTTGCTATCCCTAATTGGGACTAGTTTATATCCTTGTTATTGGGATCAATAGTATAAAAACCCGAGCCTCAAAATGGTTTAACCAAGGGGTTAGTTAAGGCAGTTGGGGAAAACTAAATTTTGGCGGGAAAATCCAGTTCCTCTCTCTCTCTCTCTGGTTCAATACATATTTGTTTTGATGATATTACATTTCTGTCTCTGAAATTCTCTCTCTCTCTCTCTCTCTCACACACACACACACACACACACACTAGAATCTGACCTTAAAGTTCTGCAAATCAGAGACCTCTCTGTAAGTTCTGTTTTCTTCAAAACTGAATGATCATATTTTGTTTCAATTTAATCTTGAGTAACTTGCTCTCAAATATTTAGGGTTCAAAACCCCAAGTATATCTGCATTCTATGATTTCAAAAAACACTGACTTTGATGATCTCTTGCCCTTAGAATCTCATATTTCATTTGCTGATTATGGATTCATTCACAGTGGTGCTAAAATGAGTGATTATGGAGCAATTATATGTTGTTCAAATTGTGAAATTAAATAAATAGAGTCACGAATAAATTTAAAAAAAATACCAAGAACACAAGTTGAGAATTACAACAGAAATACACAATACAATAAAAATGGTAAAGAAAGCAAACCAAAGCCTGCACGGAAGCTGTTTCCTTAAAACAAATTTTGCCGCCTCACAGGCCGAGTGCTTGAGGAATTCCGGCGTCTGTCTCCCAAGATACGACGGTCAAAAACCAGCTACGGAAGAAGCACTTTCTGTCTAGCTTAGCGAACAAAACCATGGCAGCACTATCTCACTATAGGAACTTTCTAGCAAACTGACTAAAGAATGGAAGAAACAATTTCTGTGTTTGAGACTTGACAAGAGGGTCTCAATTTATACGTATAAGGGAGAGAGGAGAAGCCTCCAGCCTTTATGGCTGGTCACTAATGCACCATTAACCTCTGCAATAAAGGCAGGAGTTACAAACCCCATTAATGCACTATTAAACTCTGCAATAAAGACAGAAGTTACAAACCCCATTGACTCTTTCATGAAGCTAACTTCATGAGGAAATTTCTCATTCAATTCTCAATGGTTTTTGGCCATTCTATTTGTAGTGTAAAGATCTCATTGCAAAGTATCTAGACCCACTTGGACCCAACAAAATAGACGATTGGGACCCACTTTAATATTTACTTAAAGTTGCCAAAAACCATTATTTTCCAACATTATATACATTGGATCATATTATTAGTCATATTTTGAACTTTCTTGATATCTTTGTCAATTTCTTGGATAGAACAAAATTCTTGATCTAGTATTTGTGACTCTGGGATTCATTTGGTTCCCTGCATTTTCAAGATATTTAATAGTCTTCAGAGATCTGGATAAATGATAGATAAAGAGTGGATTTGGGAAGATAGTGAACAAATAGTGGAAAGGAAAAAATCATGATAAAGAAAGTGTTGGTTTGGCAACATTCCAGTTCCAAATTTTATAAAAAATATTGTTCTGGAAACAATTTAATTTTATTATCTAAAGCCCTTTTGTGGAAACAAGAAATCAAGAAATGTTAGATAAATGTGGTGTTTCTTGATACTGATGGATTTTGAAATATTTGTTAGAGATGGCTCATAACTTATATTTTTCACTTTCAACTTGGAATTGCTTATACTCTAGAACTAACTTCTTTCAAAAAAAAAAATTCTCTTCTTGTAATGAGTAGAGATTGTTTATAATTGTACATTTTTATTTTAAGTTGTCTACTTGGATGGTAGTGAGATTCCTTTTAACTAAAGGAATTTATGGATGAGCTTGCAAGTTGCTAAATTGCTTATTTTTTAAAAGAGCAAAAATGTATCGACTTTCTTATTTTATTTTCCTTTTATATTAATAGCTTGGTTTGATTTTAGATGCTGATCAACTACCTGAAACTCTTTTTTTTTTCTTTTTTCTTTCTGTATCTTGGAATAATTTTCTTTGGGTTTCCTTTTATTGTAGGCAGAGTGCCTGATCAAATGGAAAAGGTAAAGAATCTGATTTTTATTTTTTATTTTTTTATGTAATTTGAAATTGTTTCATTTTCAAATCCCTTCTGTGGTCTGGTCATGTTGATGAATTGCCAGTACAAGTTATTTGGGCCGATGGAACGAGGAAGTTCTATTTACCAAGCACTTGACGTTGTTACCAATGAACTTGTTTGTTTGAGGCGGGAATGTTTTCTCAATAGAGAACAAGGTGTCCCAAGCTCAGTAATCAGAGAAATCTCCTTTATGAGAGAGATGCAGCATAGGAACATCCTCAGGTATGTACTCCCTAAATAGTCCAGTTGGTCTCGGAGAGGCAAATAACAAATTATATGATGTACGTTTGAAAAATAACAATCTCCTTTACATAATACAAAGTTGGCTTCTCAAATTTGAATCATCCGCTGTTTTTTTTTTTTTTACCCTTTAGCTTTATTTTTAATATCTTGGATTTTGACGAAACATATTAATTGATGGAATTCTGGTCACAGGCTGCTAGATGTAGTGAACAAGGAGAGATCAGTGCATCTTGTTACAGAGCATGTGGAACTTGACCTGAGGAAGTTTATGGATACTTCTCCAGAGATTGTCAAGACGCCGAGCGTAACAAAAGTATGTGATGATTACTATCCATTTATGACTATTTTCAATGGCTTACAAGTTTAGTTGTTGCTTTACAAAAAATCTAATATATGATCATCCATATTGTTTATGGATAAATTTAGAACATGAAGTTGGAAGAATCTATGGATTTAGGTAACTGCTTAAATTTTGTTATAATGCAAAGTTAGAAATGACGAAAACTGGAAACAATACAATTAATGAAATGACAAACACAATGGAATTGTTTAATTCCATGCAACAATGCAAGATGATCTAATTTTTCAAGAAAAATCTACATTACCTAATTAATGTCATCTTAGCGTTCCTATGTTAGAATTCTATGCTAGTGTTTCTATGTAATGATTCATTTTCTTCTTCTTTTTTTTATTTTTTATTTTTTTCTTGGCAGGATTTTCTGCATCAGATTCTAAGTGGTCTCGATTATTGTCATTCGCATAACATTCTCCACCGAGGTTTGAATCCTGGGAGTTTGATGTTAGATCATCGTAGTCGAAGCACAGTGAAGATAGCTGGCTTTGGATCAGCCAGGACATTTGGTGTTCCCGCTAACGCGTATACTGAAGGGGGCAAGGTACAAATTTTTGAAAAAAAATTCCCATTCTCTTTTTACAACATTATTAAGTGGGATTTGGCTTCCCTCCAGTCCACGATCGCGGACTCGGAGGTGCTGTTGGGCTTGTGAGAGTTTATCACGGGTCTCGTTTTGATAATCTGAATCGTTCAATGTATAGAACTCATCGAATACTATATGCCTATAAAAAAATTACGTTGATTGGATATTGATAGCTGTGTGATCAAACTCATATGCTTATCTATGGAAGTGTTGATATAGCTCATATGCTTATCTGTTGAAGTGTGGATACAGCTCATATGCTTATCTGTTGAAATGATGATGTAGCTTATATGCTTATCTGTAGAGGTGTTGATACAGCTTGTATGCTTATCTATTGTGAAATGAAAAACGTTTAATATAAATTATTATTTCGTTTAGAGTGTGCGGCCAGGTTCTGAGCCACGGTAATGAATTGGAAATTGGATAAGAAATGGAAAATGAACTGAAACATGGACACTGTGGTCATGTAATGAAAGTGGTGTATGAATTGATTTATGTGACTCAACATTTATCAACATTTATCAGGTACAGGTAGCATGCCACCTCCAAGGACGTAGCTTGGGAGGTTTAGTGGCTGGAGCGTCTTTTTGTGATTAATGTTGTTGTATTACATGTATATCAAGCCAAGGGCTTTCTTTGTATAGAGTTAGTACTCTTCTTTTTGTAACCAAGTGTTGACTTGGAAAGCTGTAAGCCCGTAGGGTATTTGCTTTTGTTGTTAACGTGTAATAATGTTGTAAGAAAGCTGTAAGCCCGTAGGGCATTTGCTTTTGTTGTTAACATGTAATAATGTTGTAAGAAC